GGTGTGATATTATAATTTTTTTTCACTAATTAAACCATAAAACTGGCCCAGACATGCGGAAATAATAACGAAACGACCTCAAAACAATAACGAAACGAATACAATATCAAAATACGAAGCATTTACAAAACGTTTTTGAAAATTCGTTTTTTTTAATAATTGCTCCAGAATGGTTCGTTATCGTTTTGTAATTGAAAAAATTAACGAATTATTAACGAATTACGAATTAACGAAACGAAACCGCCCAGCCCTAATAATTACACATAACTGCCGCAGTGGGTTAAAGCCCTGTGCCCGCAGGACTGAAGACCGACAGGTCGCAGGTTCGAATCCGGGGAGAGGCGGATGAGCTCCCTCTATCAGCTCCAGCTCCTCATGCGGGGACATGAGAGAAGCCTCCCACAAGGATGATAAAACATCAAAAATCATCCAGGCATCCCCTGGGCAACGTCCTTGCAGACAGCCAATTCTCTCACAACAGGAGCGGTTGCTCCTGACACGACAAAAAAAAAAAAGCCAAAAGTATGCCCACACTTCCCACTGAAATACTAGTAAGTTTACATTTGTTAAAATTGTACTGCAGTTTAATTATTGTACTGTTTTTAAGTGCCGTTTCCACTACAAATAAACTATATGCAGCGTGCATAGGAATTCATTCATGCTTTTTTCAAATTATAATCCGGCCCTCCAACAGTTTGAGGGACTGTGACCTGGCCCTCTGTTTAAAAAGTTTGAGGACCCCTGGAGAGAATGCCTCTAGACCATGGCCATATAGCCCGAAAAAACCTACAACAACCCAGTGATTCCAGCCATGAAAGCCTTCGACACAACATAAGATCTAAAAAATCCCAGAAAGAGTGGTATCTTAACTCCGATGCTTTTGATCCAGTTCTTAATGAAATATATAAGGACAATGGATCCCAAAAAGAGTGTTATCTTAACTCTGACGCTTTTGATCCAGTTCGTAATGAAAGATATGAGGACAAAAGATCCCAGAAAGAGTGTTATCTTAACTCTGATGCTTTTGATCCAGTTCGTAATGAAAGATATAAGGACAAAAGATCCCAGAAAGAGTGTTATCTTAACTCTGACGCTTTTGATCCAGTTCGTAATGAAAGATATAAGGACAAAAGATCCCAGAAAAAGTGTTATCTTAACTCTGACGCTTTTGATCCAGTTCTTAAAGAACGACATAAGATCTAACAATCCCAGAAAGAGCGGTAACTTAGCTCTGATGCTTTTAATCCAGTTTGTAATGAAAGATATAAGGAGAAAGGGTCCCAGAAAGAGTGTTATCTTAACTCTGACGCTTTGGATCCAGTTCTTAATGAAAGATATAAGGACAAAGGATCCCAGAAAGAGTGGTATCGTAACTCTGATGCTTTTAATCCAGGAGGCACAGGCGTTGGCGGTGGTCGGGAGGGCTTTTGCACAATTGAGACTCATGTGCCAACTGCGACCATACCTCGTAAAGGCTGATCTGGTCGGGGTGGTCCATGGTCACCTCTAGATTGGTCACCTCTAGATTGGACTACTCTAGATTGGACTACTCTAGATTGGTCACCTCTAGATTGGACTACTGTAATGCGCTCTATGTGGGGCTGCCCTTGAAAATGGCTCGGAAATTTCAACTGCTCCAACGGGCGGCGGCCAGGTTGTTAACTGGTTCTCCTTACAGAGAGAGGTCAACCCTCCTGTTTAAGGAGCTCCATTGGCTGCCGTTCATTTTCCGGTCCCAATTCAAGGTGCAGGTGCTCACCTACAAAGCCTTAAACGGTTTGGGACCCGGCTACCTGCGTGACCGCATCTCTGTATATGAACCCACATGATCCCTCCATTCATCTGGAGAGGCCCTGTTCACGATCTCATGTGCGTCGCAAGCGCGTTTGGTGGGGACGAGGGACAGGGCCTTCTCTGTGGTGGCCCCCGACTCTGGAACTCTCTCCCCAAGTACATCAGACAAGCCCCAATGTTGGCAGTCTTTAGGAAGAGCTTGAAGATCTGGCTGTTCCAGTGTGCCTTTCCAGAATAGGAAACCCCAGCAACATGTCCCAAAGGCACTTTATTAGAGATTTAAGATTGTCTGCACATTGCACCTACCTCTAAAATCCTTACATTTCACCTGTCATGTCCAGCACTTTTAATTTTATTCATTACATTTGGCCCGGCCCTAGTTTTAACTATGTCATGATCAGAGGCGGCCCTAGGTAATTTTTAATGGTAAGCAAAGAGTATTTTGGTGCCCCCCCCCCCAACCAATTATTTATATATATTTTCTGTTTGTCGTGGGAGTACTGTGTGCCATATTTGGTTCAATTCCATCATTGGTGGAGTTCAGAATGCTTTTTGATTGTAGGTGAACTATACATCCCAGTAACTACAACTTGCATATGTCAAGGTCTATTTTCCCCAAGAGCGCCTCAAGAGTGCCCCTGGGCACAGTCAACTCTACTGCAAATGCTTACTTTGCGTAATAGGTTGCTGAGGCTTCCCCCAGACTGCTAGGGCTGTTGTGAGCTGAGGAGGTACTCCTCAAGTAGCGGTCGAGGGGCATTTACAGAGGTGCCTCTGCACCCCTGGCAAAAAAAGTGTACTGCGACTGCTTACTTTGCATAATGGATGAGCCGCCCCTGGTCATGATGTATTGTTTTAATGTTTTACTGTTATTGCTTTAATTGTTTATTGGTTTGCTTTATGAGTTTTATTGTTGTGTTTGTTATGCTGTTGTTTTATTGAGGGCCTTGGCCTTTGTAAGCCGCACCGAGTCCTTCGGGAGATGTTAGCGGGGTACAAATAAAGTTAATATAAGAACAGCAACACGTTTCCAAATCCAGACTAGTTGAGAACGCAAAACATTTTCTCCCAGCTAGACAATCTCAGCGCCTCCTTCTCAGGAGATTGGAAAAGCACAAGGATCAGGGCCTCCAAAAGCATGCCTTCCCCTGGTACTCTGGGCCAAAAATATAGGAAGGACTATAAAAATCCATGAATGGCAACAAATTTGGAGAAAAAAGCTCAAATATACATACTCGACAGCCTCAAGGAGAACTGGTTGAAGACCTTCCATGTTGTTGTTGTTCATTCGTTCAGTCGTCTCCGACTCTTCGTGACCTCATGGACCAGCCCACGCCAGAGCTCCCTGTCGGCCGTTACCACCCCCAGCTCCCTCAAGGTCAGTCCAGTCACTTCAAGGATGCCATCCATCCATCTTGCCCTTGGTCGGCCCCTCTTCCTTTTGCCTTCCACTTTCCCCAGCATAATTGTCTTCTCTAGGCTTTCCTGTCTCCTCATGATGTGGCCAAAGTACTTCAACTTTGTTGAAGTACTTGAAAGTCTTTGAAGACCTTCCATAGGTGGTATATAACACCTCAAAAGCTGAGCTTAATGTATACAAAATACAAAAACACATACTGGAGATGCAAAGAACAACCAGGTACCTACTACCACATGTGGTGGTCGTGCCCGGAGGTGAATAAATATTGGCAAGCCATACAGAAAGAGGCCCAAAAAAATTAAAGAAAAAGATCCCCAGAAAGTCGGAATATTTCTTACTTGGCCTGACGGACCAAGATTTAAAACTGAACAGTAATGAAGATATCCTGCTTACATATATATCCACCGCTGCTCGGATAACTTTGGCAAGACACTGGAAGGATGAGTATACCCCAGGAATCGAAGAATGGCTAGACAAATTAATAGAAATAAGGGATATGGATAAGTTAACGTTCCTCCTGAGAAAGTGCTCTGGAGGACCAGTAAAGCAGACAGACTGGACTGTTTTTGAGGAATACGAAAAAAGTAAATTTGAATGTTAAAATAATTGTGATTGGAAAAGGCGAGACGTAGATAGATTGGTTACTGTTTTGGACGGGTGAAAATCAGAACAGGAGATCCCAATGAGGATCATCTGGGAACATAGGAAGATACTCTGTTTGGGAACTAAATGGAAGTCATAAGTTTTTAACTAGTGTAAATGCATATGTTGTATATGTCGACGTGTATGATCTATTCCCCCCCCCCCCCCCCCGTCAGCATGGGGATATAATGGGTGAGTTGGTATATGTTTGTTCGTATGGTAATAAATGTACTATATGTACCCCCCCCTGTTTTACCCTTTTCCCCTCCTTCCTGCCCCACCCCCCCTCCAACCCAAGTTTCCCCTTATCCCTCTGTGTTATTTATTGAAAACTTAATAAAGATTATTTCTAAAAAAAACAAAAGCATGCCTTCCCCAACCTTGACAGGTGGTTTTCCAAGCAAAGGCTGGGACCAGACTGGAATGGAGACAATTGAAGCTATCGTATAATGGGCCCCAGGTGGTCCTGATTGAAGCCCACAAGTCTTCATGGCCAACTGTGTCAACGCCACCAATTTTACGAGCACCTATGGTCCCATGGTGAGGTGATCCAGTCATATGAAATCACATAGGATGCTGAAAAGAGGGTCATGGGAATGAAATGTTGTTGACTCTGTGCTTCTTGCTCCAACTCATGGATGACAAAATGGGCTCTTGTGATGACCTTGTTATTCCCAACTAGATTAGACCCACTGAGTCAACAGGACGCTCACATTTTAACTCATAAATATCACAAGTTGGGATTAACTAACCGATCTAGCCTTGGGTTCTTTCTGACTTGGGTATAAAGAAATTTGGAAAATCTACGTAATTCTCACATTTTTTTTTAAAAAAAATGTATGCCTACGAGATAATTGTACATATGGAAAGAGAGAATGCATGAACTTGCATGGGATGGAGGACATAACCAATGAAGAGTTGCATCAACGGAGAGGCAGGTCCATTTCAAAGAGTTACATAAATAAAGAGTCACATCCAAAATGTGGCCTTAGGAACGGATCTCAATTTTCAGGTCCCTCTGGCAAAAGTCTAAAATATTCATGCTCCCTAATTTTCATACTTTTAATCTGAATCCTTCAGATGTTTCTAGGGCTTGGGAAGTACTGGGTTGCTATCTGAAGATTATTTTAATTATGCACCATAGGGAAAATACTCTTCTAATGAGAACTGTGGATTGAGAGAAGGAGCAGCACGAGCCCCAGAATGGGATGATAGGAGGAAGGGTGTTTTGAGGATGAAGGATGAAGTTATCGTTCCAGCCAAATGCATCATTTCCTACTGGGAGGCTTGGTGAAGGACTATAAAAGGTGCCCCTTCTCCCAAGGTTCTTCACAATCACACTTCCCTCCTCTATTGGTACTACACTCCTAGCATCTCCAAAAGGTAAGTTGTATTTCACCATTATGGTCAAATATGATATGGTTACCATTAGATAGTCATCTTACTCCAGATAGATTTGGAGCCTTTCATGTTATCAAGATGTCTCCTTTTCAGACATAGTTGGATAACTCCAAGTTTACTAAACAGTGTTGGAAAAGTGTTGGTTGTATGTGAATAGAATAGAAAGAGAACTGAGCAATTCCATAAATGTTAGATTCCATAGAAGTTAGATCTATCAACATCTCCGAAAACTGGCTAAGCAAGAAAGCTGAGTTTGGACATGTGGACAAACAAATTTGAGGTGGTAGAGAAAAGTAGAGGGATATTGGATTCATGGAGATCCAGCAAGGTTGGAGAGTTGAACTAGAAGTCTGGAGATCAGGGTTTAGTTATGTCTTCAGTGTGGAAACCCATTGACTTGAAGAGAGACAACCACAAATTGGATCTATGTCCTGCTTGTGGACTTCTGAGACACAGTTGGGCTGACTACTTTTGGAAAGAAGATTGGACCGAGTAAACCAATCAAATGCAACAACGGCAGTTTTGGATGTAATTTGGACTCTCTTGTGAGGACCAAATGGGTGGTTCTAATGCAGTGGTTCTCAACCTGTGGGTCCCCTGACGTTTTGGCCTTCAACCCCAGAAATCCTAAGAGCTGGTAAACTGGCTGCGATTTCTGGGAGTTGTAGGCCAAAGCCTGCAACTAAACAAGTCCCTTCCTCTCCACAGTTAGGATGAGCCTTGGATTCCTCGAAGAATACTGGTGCCTCACCAAATGACGATTCCTAGAATTTCATATAATGGAGATATGGCTGTTCAAGTGGAGTCAAACTGCATTAATCCTACAGTGGAGATGCATCCTTTGGATCCATGCTCTACAACTATGAGAGTTGTGCTCTAGAACTATGAGAGTCTCATAGTTCTAGAGCACCTAGGCCGAAGAATGCTGGTGCCTCACCATATGACAAATCCCAGGATTTCATATAATGGAGATATCGTTGTTCAAGTGGGGTCAAACTGTATTAATCCTACAGTGGAGATGCATCCTTTGGACCCATGCTCTAGAACTATGAGAGTTGTGCTCTAGAACTATGAGAGTCTCATTGTTCTAGAGCACCTAGGCCGAAGAATGCTGGTGCCTCACCAAATGACAAATCCCAGGATTTCATATAATGGAGATATGGTTGTTCAAGTGGGGTCAAACTGTATTAATCTTACAGTGGAGATGCATCCTTTGGACCTATGCTCTAGAACTATGAGAGTCTCATAGTTCTTGAGCACCTAGGCCGAAGAATGCTGGTGCCTCACCAAATGACAAACCCCAGGATTTCATATAATGGAGTTATGGTTGTTCAAGTGGGGTCAAACTGTATTAATCCTACAGTGGAGATGCATCCTTTGGATCCATGCTCTAGAACTATGAGAATTATGCTCTAGAGCTATGAGAGTCTCATAGTTCTTGAGCACCTAGGCCAAAGAATGCTGGTGCCTCACCAAATGACAAATCCCAGGATTTCATAGTGGGGTCAAACTGCATTAATCCTACAGTGGAGATGCATCTTTTGGTTTTACATGCCCCTGCCCATTGGCTCCATTGACGTTCTCCATCTTCTTGCTTTGCAGAAATGGGCAACTCCGGATCTGGTGGTGGCGGCTGTGACTGCTGTGGCGGCGGCGGCGGCGAAAGCATGATGATTGTCTCCTGTCCAGGGAACAACAACTGTGGCTGCTGCTCTCCCTGTTGCTGTGCTCCGCGGTGCTGCGTCCCGTGTTGCAACCAGTGTTGCACCCAGTGTTGCGCTCCTTGCTGTTGCCAAGGCTGCAAGTGAAAGCCAACACTAGAACCATCTTCTGGATGTGGCCATTTAGCTCTCTTTCCCTCCTGGGTTTTCCATCTTTTCTTTTTCTGCAACCCAACCTGACCTGTTGCCTGTTTCTATCCTGCTTAATAGCCTCTTCTGCCTATGCTTGAACTTGGTATTTCCTTGGAATACGAATTCTCAGAGTCCTCCAGTGGCCAAGCTTAAAGGGGAATCTGGGAGCTTTCGTTTCCCTCTTCCAAAGACCATGCTCTTCTTTAAAGCTCTGCTCCTTTCTGTCCCTGGAATCTATTAAATATGCTTTTCCTAGAATCATAGAATCATGATTCTTCTATATCTTCTATTTCAAGATTTGTCTCATCCGCAACTTTATTGATTCCCGTTCCTTCACAAGCTTGCAGTCGACCCATCTTGAACCCTGGCTAGAAAATCTGAAGACCTTTTTTTGCCCTGGTTTCTCCTGAATTTCCTCCACTTATGCAGTTTTGCAGGCAATTCCTCCCATTTCTCTCTCTGTGCATATGCATTTCCCCTTAATTTATGGTCACGGTTTTGGAGAACTCTGTGACAGCTTTCCAAGAAGTACAAATATCAAAGTATAATTGTCTTTTGGTTTTCTTATTGGTTCCCAAAGTTCCAATGGATCACTTTTGTGTTACTAAACAAGTCCTTTCCCCTCCACAGTTAGGATGAGCCTTGTTTAGTCCTCCCTCTAACCTCCCTCTAACCTACTATTACTAGTCTATACTCTTCTCCCACTCTGCTGCTTTTCTTCTGAGCCTTGTTTCTCACCACTACACGAAAAGCCAAGGAAGAGACATGATAATGTTGGATCAGGACTCAGGAGATCCAAGTACTAACTCTCTTATGGATCCATGCAAGTCACCAGATGTGTTAGAACCACGACGCCGTGTCTCTCTTGGTGAGGAAAGAGGAAAACCATTGACTCCACAGTCAGCTTACCAGAAGAAAGGAGGATCGACATTTAAGTATAACTCACCAACTACCATGAAGGAGGAACCCATAATGGGAGGTATATCTGCTTATCCCATGGATGGATCGTCAGTTGGGATTAGCACCTTTTCCATCTTCCACACCAACCCTTTGTTGTTTACCTTCATAAATCCATCCTGGGGGGAGGCCATAGGCAATTCCATCCGTAGCACATTCCCACCAACAGGAGCTATATCAACTGAAGGAACATTTGATGATGCCTCCTCTTCCTACTCCACCTCAGGATCTCATGGAGATGCAGTGATTCCAAGTTCAACTCAGGATTTTCTCTCTCTGCTGCTTGTAATGTCTTGTCATTTCCAAAAACTTGCATGCTTATTCCAATAAAAGTATTACACTGAGATCTGTTTTGGGGCTCTCTCATTCCATATTTGGTCAACATTGCTCCATTGTGTCTATGGAGTATATCTTCTCATAAAATTCTGGAAAACTGAAACGCTCAGCTCCAGAAGATAACATGGATGCTTGGCAATGACATCGAAGAGATAAGGGAAGGAGGAATGATTTCTGGTCTGGTTGGAGCTGAACTCCATTGGATCAGTTTCCTTGACGTTGGAGACTATGTGGGCCTTCAAGTCACCCATTGGTGACTTGAATGCCTACATAGGGTTTTCTTATGCTCAGAGGTGTTGCCATCTCTGAAATATCATCTGGGAACCATTGGGAGGTCTCTCATCCAAGTCCTAACCAAGATCAGATGGGATCTGGTGCCTTTACCTATGCGTTGACTCACTATTCAGCAATTAATTAAATGGGTTTACTCTAGTTGAGGCTAACAGACAGGATATTATCATTATTATTATTACAACATCACTGCACATGTAAAAGAACAATAAAACAGTCTCCTGCCTTTGGGCTTACAACTGAATTGAGACATGACACAAAGGGAAAAGGGAATGGCAGTGTGGGAGGGCATTGAGCCAAGAAGGCACTGCTGGTTTCTCTCTCTCTCCGAGGCCAGAACAATGGCAGCTGGGATGGATGGTTTCTCCTGTACGTGGGACACTAGGCCTAGAATGAAGCCATGCTCACCTCTTCTTCTCTCCCTTTGAGTCCAGAGCAGTGGAATCATAGAATCATAGAATCAAAGAGTTGGAAGAGACCTCATGGGCCATCCAGTCCAACCTCCTGCCAAGAAGCAGGAATATTGCATTCAAATCACCCCTGACAGATGTCCATCCAGCCTCTGTTGAAAAGCTTCCAAAGAAAGAGCCTCCACCACACTCCGGAGCAGAGAGTTCCACTGCTGAACGGCTCTCACAGTCAGGAAGTTCTTCCTCATGTTCAGATGGAATCTCCTTTCTTGTAGTTTGAAGCCATTGTTGAGAAGTTGGGATGGAGAGAAAGTCTCAGCTACTTCTGGACCTGGGCATGGTGAATTTATGCCTGCCTCATATCTCCCTCAAAAGTCAAGGTAGTGGCAGTTAGGATGGAGGGATATGTCTAGAGTCTTGGTGACACTCTACACTTAGTCTGAAGTTATGACAAGAAGCATCCAAGTCCATACAATAGTGAATCCACTCTTGGGCTTTGGACCAAATTTGTAGGCACTTTATCTTAACTCTTACCAGTGGTTCCCAACCTTTGGTCCTCCAGGTGTTTTAGACTACAACTCCCAGAAATCTCAGCCAGCTTACCATCTGTTAAGAATTGTGGAAGCTGCAGTCCAAAATACCTGGAGGACCAAAGGTCAGGAACCACTGCTCCCTACAATAGATTCAGCACTTTGGACACTCTTCAACTTCCAATGAAATAATCTTTGACCACTGTTGGAGAACCCACCTGAGATCCCTGCTACATTACTGCTCACTACAGAAGCTTTGTATAGCAGGCATAAGAAAAGATATCTCATCCAAATGTTAGAAACAACTTTCTAGTGGAAATAAACGTCCAGTGGTAGAATGGATTGCTTTGATGGACTACTCTGATGGCCCCAAAATTGTAATTTAAGATGGACCTTAGGGCCCTGTAACATTATACTTTGATCAAATCATATTTACTTAGTCGTCATAGCAACTACACACTGCATACATTGGGAGAGGAGGAGCCCTTGTATATAGGGAAAGAGACCCATGTCTACCATCTTTGTTGAAGGAAAGAGAAACATTGGAGGTCATCTCCAAACAAGACTGAAAGTCAGTTGTCCTCAAAACCTCAATCCATGTGTTTATTGGATTTTGGGTCAACACATTGGGGCCACTCCAACCCAATGATTCATGCTATTTATCCAAGTGGATAATTATATTCATCAAGCGGGGTGTAAATTCAGGAGATATAGCCAGGTGGACTCATTGGACATTATGAAGTTCAGTCACTTGACTACATAGCATCTAAAACACCCCAATGTTCTCCTTTAAATACCTAGTTGCACAGCACCAAAACACCCTGCTAGTTCTCCTCTAAACACAGTCCTGCAACTTCCTTTGGGGCTTGCTGAAGAGTTACCCTGTTATTATACTAGTGTAACTTGATTGCCAACTCTGCAAATAATAATGATAACCATAACAACAAACAAAATTCTTGACCAATGAGACACCCATGGAGTCAACAACATGAACCGGAAGTTTGTGCACGTGACTGACCAACCTATAATGTTGTGACTCAAGAGCAGTTCCAATTGGTTCAGAGACATTCTCGTAAAGATGCATTCCTCTTATATAGCCTTGGATGTTGCCCGTACCTATCATAGCTCTGTTGCGGATGCAAATCCTTCCTGATTTTGTCCTCCCACAAAAGGACAACAAAATTCCAATGCTTCCTACCTTTTTGTGGATTGCTATTTTTGCTGAATTTTCAATACTTGAGGACTCATTATGGCACACAAATGTTTAAGGTGAGTCCGGAGACAATGGACTAAGTCAGTAGTTCTCAACCTGTGGGTCCCCAGATGTTTTGGCCTTCAACTCCCAGAAATCCTAACAGCTAGTAAACTGGCTGGGATTTCTGGGAGTTGTAGGCCAAAACACCTGGAGACCCACAGGTTGAGAACCACTGGGCTAAGTCCTTTAGTTTGAATGTTGGTTCTCCAGATGTTCTGGACTTTAGCTTCTAGTATTCCTGGGAGTTGAAGTCCAAAACACCTAGAAGACCAGAAGTTGGGAAAGACTACTCTAGTTGGTTGTCCTGAGTAGAGTAGACTTACGAAATCAGTTGAGCTTATCTTTCAACAATGGACGGAGTTGGTCAACTTTAGGAAAGACTAACCAATTGAAGTCATCACAAAATGCCTGGTTTTATGAGCTCGTTGCTCGTAGGTGAATTTTTCACATAAGAGGACACTCAGTGCAATCCAACCTCACTGTCAAGACCAAGAATATTTGTGAATATTCCTTACCTCTCAATTTCGTTCCACTGGTATATTCTCAGAATAGAAGGTATTCTTCAAGTTATTAGGCCAATATTCCTTTTCATTAGCATTAATCGACCCCATAATTAGAATCTCAGACCCAGATAACTGGTGAGTAACTTGGAGATGATTCAGAACTGGATTCAAAGCCCTGTGTCCATCATCCACAAGTATTTCAAGGAGATACTACAGAAGGGTTTAGCTAGTATCTACACTGAAGAATGAATGCAGTTTGAGCTCCTTTGGAAATGCCCTGGCACAATGCTGCAGAATCATGGGAGTTGTAGTTTGGTGAAGCACCAGTACTCTTGGGTGGAGAGGGCTAAAGTCTATAGCTCCCAGGATCCCATAGCATTGAGCTATGGTGGCCAGACTGCATTCATTTTACTCTCTTGGGACACACAAGAGAGAAAACAAAGGCAACTCTATACCTCTCTGCTTCCTTCCACTTGTTCAACGAACCTGTGAGAACTTGTACCTCCCATGAATGAACAACTGGATTTTCTAGTCGTCCAACTTCTTTTCCTTCATGCCCTTGAGACGGTTGGGTAACAGGTCTTTATTTGAGTCTTTAAACTCATATGAGAGATTGAGTGTGCGGTGACCAAACTAGTCTGGGGACTCTTTCTACTCCTTGGACTCAAATGGCCAAGACTCTTTCAAGACACCATAGAAACAAAAGAAATGTCCCAAATGTCTCAAGGAAGTGAAATGAATGCCAACTATAATTGCTCAAATGGTACCATACCCCAGCATACAGTAGAAGAGTCGTCTATTTATTTGTCCCATCAAGTGATGATGACAAAACCCAAATTTATGTAAGGTTGGATTCGTGAAATCATCCTCCAATGGACCCAAGCTTTTGTTTCGTACACAAAATTATTAAAATACTTTGTATAAAATGACCTTCAGCTTACGTGTCCATATGAAGCATATGAATTTCATGTGTAGACTTCTGTCTCCATGATATCTCATGATGTAGACTTCCATCTCCATGATATCTCATCATGAGATATCTTAGAGATACCTTGGAGACCAGATGATGACAAAACCCAAATTTATGTAAGGTTGGATTCATGAAATCGTCCTCCAATGGACCCAAGCTTTTGTTTCGTACACAAAATTATTAAAATATTGTGTATAAAATGACCTTCAGCTTATGTGTCTAAAGTTTATACAAAGCATATGAATTTCATGTGTAGACGTCCATCTCCAAGATATCTCATGATGTAGACCAAGCATCATGAGATATCTTGGAGATATCTTGGAGACCAGATGATGACAAAACCCAAATTTATGTAAGGTTGGATTCGTGAAATTGACCTCGAATGGACCCAAGCTTTTGTTTCATACACAAAATTATTAAAATAGTGTGTATAAAATGACCTTCAGCTTACACGTCCAAAATTTATATGAAGCATATGAATTTCATGTGTAGACTTCAATCTCCAAGATATCTCATGATGTAGACCAGGCATGGACAAACTAAGGCTGTCACCCTTGGGTGCTAAACTCAGGCCCTCTTCATTTTTCTTGACCTCTTGGCAGAAAGACATGGCAGTCCTCCAAGTCCTTATACCAAAAAGATGGGGGAGAAAGTCACGTAGCAGCTGAAATCCCTCTGGAGTGCTCTCGGCCACCATGTTTCTTGACCTCCTTCTGGCATAAGGACAGTGTGAGCAGTCCCATCTTTATCCCGGAAGGACAGCTAGGCTCACAACAGCTGAGAGCCCTCCAGAGAACTCTCAACCACTACCTGTCTCACCCTCCTCCCTGCATAAGGCCAAGAGGACAGCCCGAGGATCAGAGTAGGAGGATGGGGAGAAGGGAATCAGGGAAAAATGGGGCAGTCATCGTTTGTCCCACCTTCCTCCCACCATAAGGATAGGAAGGTGAGCAGCCCTGTCCTTATGCTGGGAGGACAACCTGAGGATGACCCAGACCCTGCCCTGCCCCTTCCTGGCCCCACCGTCTCCCAGACCCACACGACCCAGC